TGTCTTAATCCACTGGGGAAGGAAATGGCAAACCAACCCAGTATCTTTGCTTAGAAAACCCCATATGGTGTCGTGAAGAGTCGGACAGACCTGAACAACACCACCTAGTTATTTACATAGTATCTCCTCCATTAAAATGTCAGCTTCTTCATAAAAAAAAAAAGTGTTTGCCTTTCTTTGTACGCCACGCTGGTGACTTTGCACAGCCTTTCCTCACCTAAATCAAAGTCAATTGCAAATCATGTCATCATCAACCTGATGTCACGGTCCTCTTTGAGAACAAAGGACAAACCATACAACCACAACAATGCCACGGTAAGCATAGCCAGCTGGTGGCACAGTGGATATAGTGCAAGGCCTGAAGTCAGGATAGATTTGAGATCAGATCTGGCCTCATACCTACTAGCTGTGTGATCCTAGGCAAGTCTCTTAAAAAAACAAAAACAAAAAAAACAAAAAACAAAACAAAAACAAAAAACAAAAAACGAAAAAAACAACCTGTTTGCCTCAGTTTCCCCAACTGTAAAATAGGGATGATAATAGGGCTCAAATGAGAGAATATTTGCAAAATATTTGTAAAAAAGTGCTTAGCACAGTACCTGGCACACAATAGGCTTTATGTAAACATTTATTTCCACCCCTTTAATAGATGTTTATAATCTGCCTGCTTCAGTCCCATTCTTTCATTTCCCAGCTTCTCTCGTGAAAGTATCCAATGAAATTAGTTGTCAGTCAACAAGAACCATATTACTAGTGACAACAAAGCCCCATAGAGTCCATATTTCTGGGGGGAAATGACAAAGTCCTTATCACCACCACTCCTGCCCCAGTCCAGAAAAACAAGAGATCTTTCCTTGAAGAACATTTCCATCTTTTCTCAGAGTTAAGCACAGGGCAAGACCTGTGATTTCATTGTTCCGGGGATCTCCTGATGGGGCAAATGCCTTCCACCACCAAAGGTTGACACCATCTCTGCAACTTAAAATCTTAGTTGCCTGGGGCCTTGAGAGGTTAAGTGATTTGCATCCAGCATGTGTTTGAGGTAGAATTTGAGCACAGGTCTTCCTGAATCCAAGATCTATTCTTTATTCATTACACTGCAATACCTCTCTATTAATATACATATATATAATATAACGCTAAATTATATTAATTAGAATTACTTAATTAAAATAATATAATTACATTATAGTAATATAAAATATGCTTAAGGAATTCATAGAGATTATGCTAAGCATACAGGGATAAGGAGAAGGCACACAAGTTCTAAAGTCTCTCCCTCTCCAGTCCTGCATCTCCAATTACTTAGCAGACATCTTGAACTGAATGTCCTACAAACATCTTAATTCAATATATCTAAAACTGAACTTATGATTGTTTCCCTCCAACCCTCCCTTCTTCCTAACTTCCTTATTACTATGGAGGTTACCACAACCCTCCCAGTTACCCAGGTTCACAGCCTAGATGTCATCCTCAATTCCTCGCTTTCTCTCAGCCTCCATGTTCAATCATTGGTCAAATATTACCATTTTTATCTTCATAACTTAGTGATATCATCACCCCCCAAGGATTCAGTTGTCATCTCAGTACAGATAATTCTCAGCTCTAACCTCTCTCCTGAGCTCCAGTCTTGCATCTCCAATTACTTGTAAGACATCTCAAACTATTCTTTGAAATTCAATGTGTCCAACACTACACTTATCTTTCCCCACCCCAAGCTCCTTCTCTCTCCTAACTTTCCTATTACGATAAAGGGTGCCATCATCTTCCCCATCACCCTGTCTCATCTTCTAGATGTAATCCCTGACTTCACTCTCTTTCACCTTCCCATATCCAATCAGTTGACAAATCCTGTCATTTATGCCTTCATAACATCTCTCATATACACCCCATCTCTCCTCTGACACTGCCACCACCCTGGTGGTCATTACTGCATGCTCAGATTATTGCAGTAGCCTGTAATATGTCAAGTCTCTCCTTGCTGCAATCTACCTTTCACTCAGCTAATAAACTTGTCTTCCTAAAACACAAGTCTGACTATATCATCTCCTCCCACTCCATTCAATAAATTCCAGTGGCTGTCTATAACCTCCAGGATCAAACAGAACTCTCTGACCGTTAAAACTTTTTATTAACTGGCCCTTTCTTACCTTTCCAATCTTCTTATACATTATTCCTTTCTACTTATTCCCCCCTTTTTTTTTTTTGGCAAGGCAATCAGGGTTAAGTGACAAGCCCAGGGTCACACAGCTAGTATCATATGTCTGAGGCTGGATTTGAACTCAGGTCCTCTTGACTCCAGGGCCACTGCTCTATCTACTGTGCCACCTAGCTGCCCCCTTTCTACTTATTCTTCTAGTGGCACTGGCTTCCTCACTGTTCCTTGAACACTATACTCCATCTCTCAATTCCAAGCACTTTCCTGGCTATCCCTCATGCCTGAAACACTCTCTCTCCTTATCTATGTTCCTATCTTCTTTGGCTTCCTTCAAACCTCATTTAAAATCCCCTCTTCTGTAATAAATCTTTCCCGGTACTCCTTAATCTTAGTGCCCACCCTGAGAGACTACTCCTAATTTATCCTTTATACATCTTGTTCACACACAGTCGTTTTTGAATTGTTTCCCCTGTTAAACTATATAACCTCCTTGAGATCAAGGACTGTCTTTTGCCTCTTTTTGTATCCCCAGTGCTTAGCACAATGATCAGCAAATAGTAGGTGCTTAATAAATGCTAGTAGACTTAACTGACCCACACAAGTCCACACATCAAAATTAGCTTCATTCTCTCAGACTTACTGATTTTTTAAAAATTGTATGCATATACCACTTAGGGGTGGGGGGAAGAGACTTGTGGGCTATCTTATTATTTTAAGAAATAGAACTGCAAACCAGATTTATCAGTTCAATTGCTCTGCTGGGTGTCCTGCCAGGAGTTTTTGCTTCACTTCCTGAAAAAAAACAGACCAATTTTCTCTAAGACTACATTCTCCCCCCTTCCCCCCCGCCCCAATTAATTTTATTCACTTTTAAACATCTAAAAATACACACCCCCAAACACCTTTAATATTAAAAATTCCCCAATCTGGGTGGTCTAGCCCCATCGATTTCTTTTTGTTTTAAAATACAGAAAATCACATTGAATAATAATACCACATTTCTAAGACCTCTAAATCCAAGTTGAAAAGTTCAGGCTTATTAATTCCTGACTTTGGTAAAGACTTGTTGATTTTGGCCCAATTCGGTGGGATTTTTGTCCATTAACACATAAAACATTTCTTGAAGGATTGCTGGTTTAAAGAGACTTTTGACTAAATCATATTCCCAAGAAAAGGAAAGTCATTTCAGTTTTTTCATGTATTCACGGGCCAAGGAACAGTAGCCCCAAGTAGCTATAATTCTTATCTCTAAAGAGTTGGGCTTTCCAACTGATGGACTTCTCATGCATTTGAGTTGTCTCAGGCAACTTTACTGGAATTTTAGCCCTTACTTTAACCCAAATACACATTTTAAAAATCGTGAAATTTCCACACTGGGGACTCAGGTTCCATGAGATGTGCAAAGAAAATACACTCCAGAAAACTGGTGACATTGTTGGAAGGAAGGAAGAGGACTGGACTTCTATAAGGGTGAACATGCCTTGGCAGTGACTGTCCTAAATGTCTGGAATTCACTTCCTCCTTCCTTCAAGCCATCTCAAATATTATCTTGTGCATAATATTTTTCCTGATCCCCCAACTGCTAGTACCCTCCCTCCCAAAAGCCACCACATTTGGTTACTTTGGATGTTTTTATGGATTTAGCATATATTTATGCTGTGTATATTTTTAGATGTACTGGTTGTCTTCCCCATAAGAAGGTAAGCTCACTGAGAGCAGGGGTAGCTGTTCTTTGTACTTGTGTTGCCAATGCCTAGCATACTGCCTTGCACTAAACAGCCATTTAATAACCTACTTGTTGAGTGCTTTATTGAGAAAGGGTACAATAACTCTCACTAAGCATCAGGGAGAGATGTCAGTTAATTGACAGAAGAGAAATCATTTTTAAGATGAGCTAGGTCAACTAATTTTTGCTATCTCTAAACCTCTGAACCCTTCAAAGTTTACACAATACTACCGTTCAGTTTTGTTTCTTTTACATTTGGCATCTCACTCCTGTGCTATAGCCAAAAAATACATTGCTGTAGTTTGGTTTCATGAGACATAAAAAGGGCCATGTTGCACATTCCTCATCTCATTTCTTCACAAGACTTCCTGTGCATGGGAGTTGGGGGGAGGGAAAGATGGATTATTGCTCACTTGTCATTTAACATTTAACAGCAGAAGGCAATGAGACAATCCTGTTAGAATTGCCTTTCCTAGGGACAACTTGATAAATGAAGCTAACACAAAAGCTGAAAAATATCTGGATTATCTAATTATAGATACCTTTCCCTCTGCCCATAGTTAAATCTGGTATTTATAACTTTAGGGGACACATGATGAAACTCCCCCAAAGTTTTTAGTCTTAAGGAAGAGCAGCAGGATTAAAAGAAGGCATATGAAATCCCATAAATTTAGGTTAGAGCCAGTTTTACTTGGGTTATAACCCTAGAAAGTTCAAATTGGATTATCAGAATTCCCAGCCTGAAGGATTTTAGGGAACAGGGTCAAATTTGTATGTTTCTGCTGCTTACCACCATTATGATCTTGAGCAATTCTCTGGGCCTCAGTTTCCCTAGCTATAAAATGAGGGAGTTAGGCTGGACGATCATTAAAGTCTCTTCAAGCTCCATGATTTCTATGTTTTCTGTGCCACCAACACCAAGGTAGGTGCTGTGGAGAATAGAGAAGAAATCTGAGGTGATCGTGCCCTCTATAATCTTACAGTTTAGCTAGAGAGACAATTCTAACACATGCAGAACATGAAAGCAAACAATATTCCCCGTGATTGGCCCAAGGAACTAATTTGTTCAGTTCAGCCTGACAGAGGCTATCAAGATAAGACATCAGCCTAAGATACCTTGCAGTCACAGCCAATGGGTTTCTTGCACTCCTCACATGTGTTGGAGTACAGGCTCTCAAAGCACTTCACACAGTAGGGATCCTCTTCTCTCAGGATGTATTTCTTTCCAAACAGGGACTCACTGCAGTGGTGGCAATCAAAACGCTCAGTCATTTTGACACCTTTGTTTCCGGCAACCTGTCAAAAGGAAAAAAAATTCCAAGCTCCATTAATGCTTCTTTGTCACTAGGCACATTCAGGAATCAAGCAGAGTGACATTGTTATCAGTTTCAGTCAAGTGATATTCTGTTTCTACTTGGTGAATAATTTCACATTGGCTAGTTTAAGTAACACAAATCTTTTGTTTACTAAATTAGTGCGCAACGGGAAAAAAGCTTTTTTATTTTTCCCTTAGTGGCATGAGTTTTCCCACAAATTCTATTCTAAAATCTATTTTTTTTTCTCAATGCTGTATAAGACCGTATCAATTTGGCAGAAAAGTGAAACTCTAGACCATGGCTCTTTAATCTCTCTTGCTTTTTTTTTTTTGGTGAGGCAATCGGGATTAAGTGAATTGCCCAGGGTCACACAGGTAGTAAATGTCAAGTGTCTGAGGCCGCATTTGAACTCAGGTCTTCCTGACTCCAAGGTCCAAGCTCTAACCACTGCACCATCTAGCTGCCCCCTCTCTTGCTTTTTATATGTGTTTTAAATATGTAATATCATCATAAATCAATTCTTCCTCTTCCCCTTTCCCCTGAAATAGGCAGGAACTTAAAACAATATGTTCATTTCTATTAAAAGATTTTCCATGAGCTTCTTTTCATGATTCACAAGTTTAAATGTTAAGAAACAGCAGCGGTAGGAGGTGGGCCAGAGCATCAGGGGATAGTCAATCTGAGGGAAAATGGGCACAGTATCCTCGACTATGAGGTTGCATTAGGAAATACATAAGCAAAAGAGAAATGACCCAAGTGCTTCATTTATCCCCAACTTAAAAAACCTTAATTCAGCTGCATGGGCATTACTGGAGCAGGATGAAGCAAAAGGGCTCTCTTCAAAAACACAAAGACGATTGTACAATTTCAAAAGCAGTGACCTCAAACAGTAGCACTGACAGGCAACACTGGGCTCATTTCTAAGAGAAGCAAGTATGAGTCTCCGTGCTTTGGCAATAAGACAGTCATGATGAATTTTTCCAGAATGAGCATATACTGTGCCTGACTACTGTGGAGGTGGGGTGACTGGAAGCAGGGGTGGGGAATGTTTTTCACTGTTCCTCATAGACTATTTCATACAGACCTGTTAGGATTTTTCCATAAATTTATGGGTACTAAGTCAAGATTTATGAATAGCTGGACCTAGGAGGGACCTAGGACATTACCTAGTTTGGTGATTTTATTTTAGAGATGAGAAAACTGAGAAAAGGTGAAGTAATTTATGCAAAGTTGCACAACTAGTGAGGAGTAGAGATGTGAATCATAGAATTACAGAATTAGAGCTGGAAGGGACTTGAGAGGCCATCTAACCTGACATATACAGATGAGGAATGGAGGCTCTGTACCTTGCCCAAATTCCCACAAATAATTAAATGGCAGAACCAGTAACTGAATCCAGGTTTCCTGACTCATAATCCAGAACTCCTTCCAATTATTTTATTGCATCATGACCGGTGCTACTTGGCAGGGAAATTTTTTTCCATTGTACTAATAATACTTGATACAATTTACTTTTTTCAGGAGTACATATGCACATGTGTGTTTCTTCTTCTTTTACAAGTTAAGAGGAATGGTTAATTTACTAAAAGCAAAAGGGAAGAAAGATAGGTTGGACGTCGGCACATATGACCAGCTGTATGTTAAGATTCCTTGAATGAACAGCACTTTGTAAATGGAAAATGGTCATGAATAGGTACATTAAAGGAAAATGGTAACATTTCTGTTTATGATTACTGAAAACTTGATTCTGAGTTTGAGGCAAAAAAAATCAGTAAGTATATCAATTTGTGCCATATAGCTGAGTAAAGTTCTAAAGGATACCCAATAATTGACTTTTGTTTCACTTAAAAAGTTATTGAAATGACAAGAAAGACACAATTAAAGTCAAATTGAAAATACCTGCATAGCTTGTGGTGACAGCCTATAGAATGAAAGGACTGACTTGGTGCTATTGTGTGCTTGAAGCTTGAATAGCTATAAGCAAAGAAACTGCCATCTTCTTTTTGTGTATTCATTCTTAATTACTCTTGAATTTATATGATACTGTTCTTTCAAGGAATCTAGACATATAGTTAGACACATAGGATATTGTCCACCCCACTTAATCTTTCTTCTTGGAGTCAAAGAAAACATTGTTTTGGACATTCTTGGGATAGCACAATGTGAACCTTACGCATTTAAGTTGTTCTTCTAAAACCCATCGTGCAAAGATACTTTGTACCTTTGCCATCTTGCCCTGCAGTGGTTATACTGGCAAGAGATTTAATACGTTCCTTTAAGTCAACAGTTATTAGCAAAGTCAACACGAATCAGGTATTTTCTTCTAACAGCTGACAATAGCTTTTCCAATATGAGTTTCTTTCAAGGGAAGACTACAAAATAACTGGAGGTAAGAAGGGATGTGTATCTATACACACACACACACACACACACACACAGATATATGGGATCTTTTGCTTGCTTAAATGAGAGGATGGTGGTTTGTTCAGAAATGGAAGCAGCAAAAGGAGATGAGAAGAGTAGATAGAACTTACACAAATATCCACTGAACCTGAAAAGACAATGATGCTCAAACTACGGTAAGTGAAAAGTGGTAGTAGTAGTTGGTGTATCCAGCAGAAATGCAACCTCCTTGAAGGCAGTAGCTGTGGGTTTCATTTTTGTTTGTTTGTTTGTTTGTTTTTTGCCTTGGTATCACCTGTACCCAAAACATTGCCGTGGATATAGGAGGGTTTAATAAACTTTGGTTGAAATAAATCATGTGACTTCATCTAAGAAGGGAGATGAATATTCTACATCACCAAGATTATTGAATTGAAAAGTCTGCTATTAATATAGGTGTTTAAGCCTTTACATGGTACCTTTTCTATTTTCTTCAGCAAGAGGATTTTTTCTGGCAAACTAGTGATCACAGTACACAATTAACCAAACATTTACTAAGCATGTAGCTATGAACAAGGCAGTGGAAAACATCATCCCAGCTGATATTACATACCGCTCTTTATTTTACAAAGTGCTTCCTATACATTTTCTTAGTTCAGGTACAACACATATCATCATCTCAATTTTTTTTTTTTTTGGTGAGGCAGTTGGAGTTAAGTGACTTGCCCAGAGTCACACAGCTAAGGAAGTATGTGTCTGAGGCTGGATTTGAACTCAAGTCTTCCTGACTCCAGAGCTGGTGCTCTATCTATTGTGCCACCTAGCTGCCCCCCATTATCTTCATTTTGCAGTTGAGGAAACCAAGGTTCAGAGTTGCATAGTTGCACAGTTAAGAATCAGAGTCTTAATTAGATCCCAACCCCCCCCCAACCCAACACTCCTGACTCTGAATCAAGGGTCCTTCTGCTATACCTCACTACTCAGGTATATAGGTATGAACACATGACATACGAGTGTCATACAGCTGAATCTTAATTGGACTTGGAGTCAAAAGATAAGGAGGGAAATCTCAGCTCTATAATTTACCAGCTCTGTGAGCTTCACCTCTGGACCTCAATTTTTTCATTTGCAAAATGGGAAAGTTGTATTAGATGATGCCCAGAATTCCTTCTGGCTCTGAAATCTCAAATTACATGTTCTACACTATCTTGCTAATCTTGTCTTCCTGTCCTAGCTGAAGCAGCTGGGAAACTTGGGAGTGCTGGACCTGGAATCAGGAATATTTAAGTTCAGATCCTCAGACATGCACTATTGTGTGACCCTGGGCAAGTCACTTAACCTCTGTTTGTCTGCCTCAGTTTCCTCAACTATAAAATGGAGATAATAGTAGTACCACACAGGATTGGTGTGATGACCAAATGAGGTATTTGTAAAATTCTTAGCACTCTACCTGGCACATGGTAGGCACTAAATAAATGTCTCCTCCCTTCTAATCCTATATGGAAAGAATTGGGAGAAATTCTAAGAAGATGAAATTTGGGAGAGTTAAACCAAGAAAGACTTTTTTATAGTTATTTTTAACTTCTCACTTAAAACCCCCCCTCCCCACATATCCCATCTGTTGGTTGTTTCATTGGTCCTACCTTTGCAATATCTCTTGTATGCATCCCCTTCTCTCTACTCAAAAAGCTCATCACCTAACACCTAGACTACTACATTAGCCTTCTGGATGGTCTTCCAGATTCATGTCTCTCCATACTCCAAGCCATCCTTCACTCAACCGCCAAAGCGACTTTTCTGAAACACAGGTTTGACCATGTCATAGTCCCCATCGTGCTCCCTTCACCCCATCCCCTGCCTCAATAAACTCCAGTGGCTCTCTATTACCTCCAGGATCAAACATAAAATCCACTCACTTTTCAAGCCCTTTAAAACCTGGCCTTTTCCTATTTTTCCAGTCTTCTTACACCCTACTTTTTAACGTACGTGCACTCTACAAGTCAACAATGCTGGCCTTTTTGTTGTTCGTCTCATAAGCAACTCTATCTCCCAACTCTTGCCTTTCTATGGGCTACACTCACACCTCTATCAGCCATGATAGAAAACAACTGAACAACAAATACGTGAGTGTGTGTGTGTGTGTGTGTGTGTGTGGTCAGGAGAAGGATTTGGTTTATAGAGTATACTAGTAGAGAGGCATACACATAGGGAACATATGTGGTCCAGGCAAATCTCACTTCTGGCCATGCAGGCTTTCAGAGTCCTTTCTAGTCCTTTAGTGGTTTTCTCTTGTCGCTCCCCCTGGGTGCTGTTCCTTCTACTGGATGAGTGCCACAGAGGTGAGAATAATTCCCTCTCAAAGACCGAATTCTTCTTCCATAACTGATTCTCTCTTTTTGAGAATCCTTTCTTTCTTTTGTAATTTATACAATAACTACAGCAAATAGCTTGAGTTTGCTGGCCAAACACATTTATCATTGCTAAAATGGCTTATAAATCAAAGTAAGCATTTAGGGGAAAAACATAAAAACGAATACAGATCAAAGAACCTAGAAGGGAATGATGGAAACAGGAAGTGAATGGTCAGGAAGTAAATGA